ATTTTTGTTGTAAATAAGATGTATGAAGTGGAGGACCTAGGGGGTCCTAGGGGGGCAAGTGCCCCTGCTTCTGATCCCGAAATTTAGTTAGTACTTATGATATAATCAGTGCCCCCTCTTCCGACCCCGAAATTTAGAATTAGTACTTATCATATAATCAGTGCCCCCGCTTCTTGATATAAAACAATGACTATTAGATATGTAATAATTCTATCAAAGAGCATATATAAATTGTTATAAGACATTTAAATGACTACGGAGTTATGATGAAGCGATTTCATACCATTAGATATGTTCTTGACACGGTCATTCTTTGAAAAGTGGCATTTGGGATTATTTTTGTGAAGTACTGATAATTATTTTTCAAAATTAGAAGTCAATGATATGACAAGACTTCTAATATGTGTGGTGAGCTTAATGGATTTAAGATTATCTTAAATGAAATTCCATACAGAAGATACATTCATTGTTTTCTCACCAATTACAATTAGTTGTTGTGGCTATCACACAAACAGAAGAAGTTTGTGGATACTTTCTTTGGATATTTATCCATGATAATGTTACTAAATGTTGGGATCCTCCCTCTTGTAAAATAAAGGACGTATTTCGACAAAAACAACATGATACCATAAGAGAGTTGTGAGAAAAGGGTGTAGTAGTAACAAACTGGAGATATTAATTGAATCAAGAAATTAAAGTAGTTTAGCTCGGTCAGGATTACATGTTAGCGTTCATAATTTAATGGTAGATTTACCTTAATAGGATCAAAACATGGCTTTTTTCTCAAAATAGGAGTACCTAGTTTAAACATCCTTAAATAGGACTTTTTATTAGTGATTGGACCAAAATACCCCTCACAACCTTTACCACTGCTGCCCAGGGACTGCCAGACCGCCGCCTGCCGCCGCTGCCGGAAAAATTCCAGATTTTTTTCTGGAGGTTTGCCAACATTCTGCCGCCACCTGCCGCCGGCGCCGGAAACCGCCTCCGGCGCCGGAAACCGCCTCTTCCGCTGTCGCCACCTCCGGACTGCCCCGCTACCAACGGACTGCCTTGGTTGTGCAAGAGAACTAGGGGGCAATTAATTGGGTTAATTAATTGCCGGAGTTGCCACCGGAATCCGCCGCCGGAATCCGCCGCCGGAGTGCTGCCGCCACCACGGACTGTCCCGCCATCGACAGACTGCCTTGATTGTGCAAGGAAACTAGGGGGGGCAATTATTTAGATCAATTGACTAAATAAATAAAATTATGGATAAAAAAGGTAAGGTTAGTCTTATTTAGAGAAAAACATGCATGTGGTCCTATTTTGAGAAAAAGGTTGAGTTTTAGTCCTATGTTGGACAATTTTCTCTAATTTAATCCCAAGTTTATGAAGGGATTTTGGACACCTTAATTTTGTGGCACAACATGTAACGTTGGACATTATCCTAGTTCTAAATCAAAATTCTGAATGTTTGTAGTACAAAAACATTTTGAATTATAAGCCAATACCAGAAATGGTGGCAGGATGATTCAATTCTAATTCATATGAAGTATTATGTTTTTCTTTCAAGAAACTGAATATTATTATTTAGAATTGTTTAAATGGAGTTGAAAACTAGACCCATTGTACATATATTTAAATCATTTGAAATTGAAATTGAATAACTTATTTTTTGTTTTAAAAAATTGTCTACACATTGAATAAATTAGTCTAACATCTGACCCGACCTATCTTCATCCATGTTGTAGTGTCCCCGTTTGAGAAAAGTTCTAGGTCCACCGGTGGATGTATGTATAGTATTACTTCATTAAACTATATAGAAAAGATCAGGTCCCTCCGGAGGGACGGGAGGGGCCGTCCGGCCAAGGCCATCACAGGCCCTTTCCGGTGGAATTTTTTGATGAAATTTTTTAAGCATGTTCCTCATCAAGTCTAGTTTATCCATACCAAATTTCAGATAAAAATTCAACCGGGAAGGCACTCAAATGATTTTTGGAAGATAATTGCGTTTTATATGTATATAAACTGCGCAGTTAACTTCCAAAAATCATTTGACTGCCTTCCCGATTGAATTTTTAGCTGAAATTTGGTATGGATAAACTAGACTTCATGAAGAACATGCTAAAAATAATTCAGAAAAAAATTCTACCGGGAAGGGCCCCAAATGATGACAGCCGGACGGCGGGTCCTGTCCCTCGGGCTGGGCAGGATCAAGCCTCTTAAATTATATTATTAGTTTATTACTGATTGTAATCATTTTGATCGAACACTCACAACTCAAGTCATAAATCCGCCACTTATTGTGTATGATATGACAATTTCACATGCAATTGAGAATAAACTAGTTCGATCGCTGCTGTACTTACTGTATTACAGCTCATTACTCAACATTAATTATGTCATATTTTAACAATTAAAGATGTTTTATTTTGGATTAAAATTTGTCGGTCTGGTCCGGCCTGATCTATTTAAGTCTGATCTGATCTGAACTACTTTGGTCTGATCTGATAAATGTATGACTAAATCAACAAATCATTGTAAATTGACACAATATAACAATCATTGTAAATCAACAAATCATTGATACAATATATACCAACGCTGATTAAATTTGTGTGGTTTCAAATTATTCCTATTTTATCTTATTTTAACATTTCGATATCCACCACACAAACTTTCTTAATAATCATTCAAGTTTCTCTTATTGAATACTCATGTTATATTGAGGCATGTTTGTGGAAATTTTGCTTGCTTCAAACGACGCTTTGACATGCATTATTAATCGCTCAAAGCGATATACCGCTAAATTCTCCGAAAATCCCAAAGTGGTTTGATATGATTCAGGTTATCTAACATTATTAAGGGGTGTTTGGAACTAATTCGCTTCTGCTTCTTTTTTAAAATAGAAACAGGATCAGAATCAGTTTTCAGAAGCTGGTCTCCCTCAGCTTCTAAAAAAACTGATTCTAGAAATAAATTAGAGCACCAAAATGACTTCTGCACTTGCACCCAAACACTCCAACTTATGCTCCTTGAAGGAGCAGAAACAGTTTTAAGAATCAGATCCAAACACTCCTAAGATGACTTTCTTTGTTTGAACTTTGATGTTACTAGAGTTAAAGATTTTTAAAGGCAGATAATGTGATATTATATTGCCTTATTCGGATAAAATAAAGTTTCTCACATAAAAATGAGAAACTATTACAACAAAAATTGTACTACCTTCTTTCCATCAAATTTAATAACTATTCAATTTGTTTAAAGAATTGTTTAAAGTAATAATTGTGATTAATATGGAGTATTATTTTTCTCCTCTACGGATGTTTTCTTTTGGACTGTTTTCAGTCTCAGATCAGACCAGACCAGACTTAAACAGACCAGACCAGACTTAAACAGACCAGACCAGACCAGACTTAAATAGACCAGACCAGACCAGACTTCCGTAGTTATAAAATACACAGAGACCAGACGTTTACCAGACCAAACCAGACCAAACCAGACTTAAACAGACCAGACCAGATCAGACTTAAACAGACCAGACCAGACCAGACCAGACCAGCAAATTTCAGTCCAAAAGAAAACATCCTACATACAAAGTTTCTACTTTATTGGACGTAGTATATCTTAAATGCAAACAAAATCAAATGTATTCCCCACTAACCTAAATGGTCCAATTTGACTTCCCTACTTACCTAAATGTATTCCCACACTAAAGGGCTCAATTTGACTTTGCAGATGTGTAGTAATGTGGAATTTGTGTAATCGAATTTCAATTTGAAGAGAGAATACAATAAACTGTATATCGCTTTTTGCAAGAAAATCGAAAATAATTATAACTGGACACAAATGAAAGTAGATAAATAGTTACAGGGACAAAAGTACATTTTTACCATCCCAATTACATACTCCGTAATATGGATTCTAAACGCGATACTCTTACATGGGTGTAAAATTGGATTAGACATGACCTTTAAACGCAATTTAACCGTAGTATTTTAGAGAATCTCAATAAAATTGTCTCATACAAAATTTAGTAAACATTGTGTGGTTCTAAACCATTTTATTTATCAATTAATATCATTCATATAAATCTACTTTTATTAATAATCGTGTCAGCTTCTTCTATGAGAAAGAGGTAGTAGTAGTTATTAATGAGTAATTCAAAGACTTCAATCCTAATAGCGCGGTAGCGCCTGCACCTCTGCGCCGGTGTAGAAATATCATCTCAATACGGTGCTTAAGTATTGTCATACCATAATTTCCTCTATTATTTTCTCTATTATTTTGTATTGTAATTTGATGAGACTTGGGAGAATGGGAGTTCAGGATTACATAAGCAATCATGTTATCCTCATAACCATATATTTTACATTATTCAGTGAACAAAATGAGTTCATAATGTTCGGGATGATTATGAATTCATTTAATAATAACAAAATTGACGGAATCGGCTTAAATTGATTTAAAAAATACAAGATTAATAAACTGTAAACATGACTTATCAATTTGGATCTTTTTTAGGTCACTAACCCTTCAAAACTCTATTATTGCATACGTAGTATATGGTACAACTACATGTGAGCATGCCTACCGCCTGCCCCGCATTCACTGCTTTCTGGCGATTGAACACAGCAGTGTACTACTACTCTGCAACTCTGTGAAGCGTGACACAGTTCGTTTCCTTAAACAACTGAAGATTCTCCACTACACCAAAATAGCATGTCCCATTCTCTCTTTTCCGTACAATCCACATATTTTTCTGCTTATTTTATTTAAAAAATGATCTTTATATCCACTCTTATACCCACTTTTGTACACAAATGTGAAATTTTTTTTTGTCTGTGAACAACGGCTCACAGACAATATTTTGCACAGACAAAAAAAAAGCCTCCACAAACATGATGGGTATAAGGTGGGTATAAAAGTGAGTACATCAATGTCTTTCTTTACCCACAGGCATAAACTACACTGGGTTCTATCTGAATTTATGCAGAAAGAATGAAATCCACTAGCAATTTCTTTTGCAAAAAATAAACAATTTATATAGAGAATGTAGAGTGCAACGGATTCCATGAAATTCAGATAAGAAACAACAACAAAATAATAACCTGATTCAATTGAATGGAATATAATTAATACCCTTACTCAGCAATGCTTTATATACACACACGGATTTTGATTTATGAACATATCTACTCTGTTCATTTTATTCCAGCACTAGATACTTAGATGGTAGTGATTGCAGACATTACGACCTTTTGTTGAAGGAAGAAATGCAGCAAGTTCACCCATCAATTGAAGAAAAGCAGCTCTGAGATCGGAGAAAAGTTTGCTTCCTCACAGGACTTGATCGCGGGGAGTCCAAGCTCCGCAGCAGTAGCTGCTTCACGGCCAATATCAGCTCCTCCGTCGGATTAGGCGGCGGATTCTGAGCTTTGAACTCCTTGTAGAATGTCATGTGCCGATTCAAAGCCTCCTCATTGCCGATGCGCCGCTCCGATCTCACCACCTCGTCCTTCACCGCCTCCGCGCACAGTCCGCAAATCCACCGCCCCTGGTTCCTCTCTCGGACCTTCGCTACGTATGCCTCCGTGCACTCCTCCGTCAATCCGCAGCATTCGCATTTCGCGAACACCACCTCGTTTGTGCTCGCTGCCGCATCCGACGCCGCTGCATCCGCCGTATGTGATTCCATCGTGTTCACCTGCGCCGCCTCCCTAATCGTCACAGCCGCCATTCTCACAGCACTCCCCAGTCCAGACGAAACCTCGCCCTTCAGGGATTTATGCACTACAGAAACAGAATCATCAAATTAAGCACATCAGATTTGGAATAAAAACAAATAACTTCCACAAATCAAAACGTATTAGTAAATCTGAACATAAACACACATTTAACGGATGATATGGAGAGACTTTTGCGGAACGAATCGAATCTGCAAGAGGTACAGAATTTCGCGAAGCTTCGAAACCGATAACTGCTTCAATTCCCTTCCCAGATCAGTATCTACCTTTCTTTCTCCCACTCGCCTTCCTCTTCAACAACCTCGCCGCCGATGATGAGAAGCTTGAAGGTCATATGCATTTCAGAGAGCCCTGATGGGCTCTTCCCGATTGAATCTACTCCGGCGAGAAATGGTCACTTCGAAGAGAAGGTTCGGGAACAAATATATCAGATGGATGCGCTGATTTATTTATAGGAAAAGAGGGCGCAGTAACAAACAAGCTATTTACTCTTTCTTTCTGTTCGCTAGTCCACCTTTTTTGCCGTCCAAATTTAGGTTTTTTTTATTTAATTGGACTCATTTCCATTGTGAACAAGATGAGTCATCATCAGAGTAATCAAATTACTTCTAATAAATCACATTTTGATAATAGGATTAATGGCAACATACACATAAAATAGATATCTATCGGATCGAACTAAATCAGTTTAGATCAGATTATAAAAAAAAAATCATCTAATTAAAAGCGTCCTAAGAATGCAATTATATGGGTAATGATTTTTCATAAGAACAAACTTTCCAGAGCTCATGCAAATCGGGTGTCTCAGGGGCGGAGCCAGGGGCAAGAGAGTCAGTCAACCTCGCTGAAAGTTTGAGAGTATAAAGCTCTGAAATATCTTTGATTTGATATATATTATAGCCCCTGTAACTCATTACGAGTAAAAAAATATGACTTCTAGAAAATTAGCACTATCTAAATGTAAAATCAGCAAAATTTGATGCATAATATTGATTATTTTCCCAAATTTTATGAATAACATCTAATTAACTCATTACTTACGCAACATGATTCAGAAACAGAGCAAAGATAGTACATCTTATTGCTTACGAATGCCTGTTTATCTAAACTACAAATGAAACATTCAATTCGGACATTGTCTAAAAACGATCTACCATTTTCATTTTATACATAGTTGATTTTCGACCCCTGACCCTTTTTTCTGGCTCCGCCACTAGGGTGGCTCATGCAATTGCTAGAGCTCGTGTGAATTTACCGGATCAGCGAGTTATGTTTGAGAGTGCTCCTGCTTGTATTTATAGCCAGTTGGCTAAGGATATTTTGTATTAATATATGAATTGAGTCTGATGATAAAAAAAAAACTTAAATATATATGACTATTATAAATTGTACATAAAAATGTGATTACAACTAAAATAAAGTTTATTCATGAAATATTTAATGACTAGTAGTAACATTCAGTGATTATTTCTATATTCAACTTTTACACTTAAACGTGATAGTGTGATCCACAACTTTAATCATTCCTTGTAAATAAATTATTTCAGTACGTAATACTTTTTTTAAAAAAAAATACTTCTGAAAACACTCTTTTTAAAATTATACTTTCATAATGTAATTCATTTTAAATAAATAAATTCATTTTAATGTGTTATACATAAATCACTTAGAAGATGTTCTGTTCGTCTTAATCTTATTACTTATTGCTTATTCTTATTTTATTCAGATCAGATTAGAAAAATTCAGATCAGATCAGATCAGATCAGAAAGATTCAGATCAGATCAGAAATATTCATATCAGATCAGGGACATTCAGATCAGATCAGGAACATTCAGATCAGATCAGAAAAGTTCAGACATGATTTATCCTTTTTATTATAATAATTATAATAATAATAATAATAATTATTATTATTATTATTATTATTATTATTATTCTTGTTGTTGTTATTGTAATTATTATAATTACTATTATTATTTATATTAAAATAATAATAATAATAGTAATAATAATTATTATTATTATTACTATTATTATTATTATTAATATTAATATGATTACTATGGTTACTATGATTATTATTATTATTATTATTCTTACTACTATTATGGTTGTTGTTGTTATTGTTATTAGTTTTGTTTTCGTTATTATCATATTATACGGAGTAATTACAATTAAAATTATAGAAATAAATATTATAATTATTATTAAAATTATAATTATAGAAATAAATATAACTATAAATATAATTACAATTATAATTATAGCTATATTTATAACTAGTATAATACGTATAATAATAATTATACCTATTATAATTATCTTTATAATTATAATTATAATTTTTATAATTATGATTATAATTATAATTATATTTAAATTATATATGTGTAATTACATTTATAATTATAGTAATTATAATTATAATTATAATTATAATTTTAGAAATATTCAAATCAGATCAGATCGGAAAGATTCAGATCAGATCAGAAGGATTCAGATCAGATCAGATCAGGAACATTCAGATCAGATCAGATCAGATCAGATCGGAAAAATTTAGATCAGATTAGAACTTAAAAAATTCAGAAACATTCAGATTAGATGAAGAGAACAGCTACTAAGTTAGATTGATATCGACATAACTAAGTCAGAATTTCTAAGTTTACATATAAAATGAATATGAAATGAATGAATAATGACACAGAGTCACAGAAGGTGGGACTCAACGAGCATAAAAGCAAGTTTCTACAAAACCCAAAACCTACGGATGACTAAATATTAATGATGATATTGTTCAATACATTTATTCATAATATATTCAAATTGCAATGATTAATACGTGTTTTATACGTCATCTAGCAATGATACATAAAAAATTACACATCTAGGTATTTATTATTTGAGGTTTTGACAAAAACCTCTAATAATTATCTCTTCAAGAATAAATGGCACATGGATTCCTCCAAGTTCAAGAGCCCAACACTTTCCTAAGGGATTACGATGGATATTTTAGTGGATTATGTTAGTTTAAAGCACAAGTAGTTAGCGAGAATAAAGAATGACAGTAAGTGATCCAATTTAGTTCTATTAATTATCTTAGAACAATTACAGCACAACTTACTAGGACGGGGCCGAGCGTCTATTCTAAGCCGAGGATGCAAGAAAATAGAAAGTTAAAACTAGTGAGTACAAGTTGACAACTCCTAACAATGAAATAAATTCTACTATTTATACTATCATGGAGTAGGTGGTAGTGATCAGTGACGTATCCAGAAAATCTGTTCAGTGGGGGCAAGTTTACACTAACATTATCACAAATTGTTTTGAAAATAAATATCAGTGTTCTAGACTCGCTAGGCGCTAGTCGGGCGGCGGAGCACCGCCTAGCGCCTAGGGCGCCTAGGCGCCGACTTTTTACGTCTTCGATTTTAATCGAAGGACGGCCGCTTTTTCCGTTTTTGATTTTAATCGAAGGACGGCCGCTATTTCCGTCTTCGATTTTAATCGAAGGACGGCTGTTGTTGTTTGTGCTTCATACTCGAAGGGCGGATTTGCCGTCATGGCTCGAGGAGATCGGCGTTGTGGTCAAGGTTCGAGGATGATGTATTGCTGTCGTCGTTGGAGAAGATCGGCGCCGTCTATCCGTTTACTCTGGTTGCATGAAGCAGGGATGAGTTTGGTTATGCAGGGACGGATGATTGATGCACGGCCTTTGGCAGACAAAGGTCACTGAGTATCATTTAGCATGGTACCGGTGGTAAGACCTCCTCCTGAACCACCACCATGGGATGTACGAGGTGCTAGAGTTCGTGAACGCTTTTCTTGTAGTTTTTATCTGTTTGTTATTTGTTTTCTTGTGTCCACTTTTGTTGTTGGTTTTGACAGTTTGAGTTTTTTGCCTCTCTTTATGTCATTGGGTATGGTTGGATCTATGGGAATAGGTTTGGCTGTGTCAAGCCCACTACATGGTTAGCGATTCGTGTTGCTCTCTCAGGGGTGACCGTCTCAAAGTCTCACCATAGGGTTACAGTCGTAGTTGTTGAAGTTTCAGTTGGTGTCAGTTTTATTTTCCTTTTGCTTGATGTAATGATCCTGAATCTTTTGATATGAATAGAGACTCGTTTGATGATAAAAAAGAATTGTCACTTTGTATAAAATTTAAAGTTATTATTATTATCATTACATTTAAGAGGTCATTTTTGTCCATCACCTTTATTTTAGTTATAAGCATGTTATGATAGTATTATTTATGAAAAGATTTTTTCTGTCTTTTATTTATGTGATTTGTTCTAATCGATTATTCATATCTGGAAAACCTTGGAAAATAAGAGTAAATAAATTTCTCTAAATAGGAGTAAGTTATCAACATCATGATATACAAATGTAGTACGGAGTACATGTTTTCTGGAGTAAGTTATCAACCTCATGATGTAGTACTATCATATTATAGCATTACAAGGCATTAATGTTGTAGTAAGAGTAATGTCATAATGAAATGATAATATTTTTCAAGCACATATTTTTGGATGAATTTAGTGTACCGACCTTGAAATAACACATTGTTTTTACTACTCTTTCCGTCTCACTAAGATTGCCGATCTCATCTTTCTTTTTTGATCCGTCTTACTATATTTTTTCACTTTATAAATTCAATATCAACCATATAACATCATTTTTCTTGATAATGTTAGAGAGTTGTATTATCTAGGACAACTTATGTTCATATTTTAAAAATAAAATTATTATATTTAAAACCAGATGCATTGTCCGATAGAGATACTAATTTTATACACAACTCAAAGTTATTCTATTAAACAGAAAACACTTAATTTATTTAGTTATTCCGTTTTTACTTGGTGTATTGGCACTTTGACATGTGAATTTCTAAAATTATTGAATTTCTACAGAAGTAATAAATTTGTAACAACCTTTCATTTAGTCATAAATTTGTAATTATTTCATATAAAAATCACATGAATATAATATATAAATATTAAGTACTTCGTATATTTTTGTCCAGGGCCCCATAATCTGAAAAACGGCCTTGTTGTTACCAAAGGTACTCCCATTCTACACCACATTCCTCCTATCATATACTCCCTTTTTTAAATGCAACATTGAATTTTTTCCACTATTCACGTGTTCTACTTTGACTCTATTTTATTTATTAATATATTATAAATTAATTTTTTTAAAAAAATATTGTTAAATTCTTCTCATTTCAAATTTTCAAAATTAATTTTTTTTCATTTTTTTACTAATAAAGAGTGAAATATGTTAATGATCAAACTTGTGCGTTGATAAACGTGAAAAGTGGATCATTGCATTTAGAAAATAAGAAGTACGTAGTATGTATTAATGTATGCGATAAGACGAAGCTGCACTGCCTGCACCCTCTTTTAAAAACATAAATTTTATAGTATAT